CTGCAGTTACACACATAAGAGGAGCACCAGTACTTCAGAGTTTCAGAGTCGTTTTGTTTTCCGACAGCAAAAACCTAGAAATATGTAAATAAGAGCAGCTGTTTTGTAGAGTCAGCCATTATAAATTACAGTTAGTGAGCAAATACAATTGAGAAAAACAGATGCCACGAAACAACATTACCCGATGGCAAATAGACATTTAAAGTTTATCTCAGACAAATATGAGTAATACTGTGAACAACTTCGTGTTGGAGCTGGGAACTTTGTTCTGACTGCATAAGGATTGATCTGCATGAATGAATGAATTTTAACCCGGCCAAACTAACTTTATAACTAGTACTTACTAAGGATGAACTGGAACTCCACTATCAGATTCTGTAGCCAGCTTGATATGCAAGCTCAGTTGTCCTCATTAAAAGTTTAGCAGGCGGATGACGCTGAAAACTGCTGGTGATGATGGATGATGATAGGCTAGAGGCTCTGCTCTGTGCTGTGTGTGTAACTAAACACAAGAAAATACAGACAGAAGAGAGGGAGATGGGAAAGGAAGAGGCGATACCACAGAGTGCCCTAAACTTTCTCTGCTGCGTTCTTCTCTGCTGACAGTAACGCTCTGAGAAAATCTCTAACCCAGGTTTGCTTTGCATCTGCCCACCATGAAAACAGAGACATTGTTCATAGGGGCAGATGTTAAACATTAGAGTATCTGAAATATGTCAGGATGGCAGAAAGCACCTGCACTGCTTCTGTTTATCATTTTGAACAGCTGCCAGCCTCCGGCCAGTGAATCCTCCCAGACATCTGCGGTGATAACGTGCTGACATGCTAGAATCTGAAGTCCTGCATGGAAACAGGACGTTGAGACGTCTTCATTTTCCATAACTTCCTGTCTTCATTTGTTGACTGATGTGGTATTTACTGTTAGAATCAGTTCGATTTTCATATTAGTAGACTCAGTTTATTTCTGTGTGATTGTTCTGAGTGATTTACTGTGCATTCTAGATTTTATTCATTATTTTTTTTGGTTTAATTTATTATTATTTATTTTAATTTTGAAAACGTCAATTGAATATGTTATGGTGTTGATCTTTTTTTTTTTAAGTTTCACTATTATTTGCGACCAACAACTTTTAGTGTTTTATGTTTTGAATTGGCAATGATTCACAGACTCCTTTCCTACAAAAATTAGAAATTAAAATCTTACAAGTTTAACGTGTAATTAAGCAGATAAAAAAAATGTTACAAGAAATGTAGTTTTCCCTTTTTGTCTCCTTATTATGTGTGGCCCATGAATGCTTTTAACTAGACAATTTTGGCAAACGGCAAAACGTTTGGACACCACTGATGTAAACTATTCCACACGGATGTCACAAAAAACATTGCAGCGCACAGTCTGCAATATTCAGTCCAACATTCAACGTTTAAAAAAAATGTGTGTGTATGTTCTGAGGGATCCTTTCAAAGGCATGAACACCTTTTGAAGTTGTCTGCCTAGTTCTTACATTTCAACCTCAGACGTGTATTTTTTGAGACAAGAAAGTGAATAATTCTAATTTCCAGTTTTAACATGTTACATCTAAACTGGAAACCTATTAAATCACAACAGTTCAGTTAATGTGTGTCAGGGGTGGCATGTAGAGCAACAATTAGAGAAGCAGCTAAATGTTTTCCATAGGGAGATGTCAAACAAGATGATAAGAAAAAGCCTTTGATTTTTACCTTCTGTCAGAGCAATGGCCCCAGACGTAGATCTAAAACTTTTTTAAATTAAATTAAATAGTTTAATGCAAACCATGTTCATTAGTTAGTTGAATAAACCTCTGGGAAGCCTAGACCTGAACTAAACTAAGAATCTAAGTTGATGTTGAGCTGGTTTGTGAAGAAAAATGGGTGAAATTTCAAGCTTTTTGAACTTCAAAGCTGGTAAGCACAAACTCTGTAGACTTGCAGGTTTAATTCCAGAGAATGGCTTTATTCCAAACCTAAAATATTGACTCAGTGGGGCTGGACATAAATGTCAAAATGTTCTGTTTTTTAATTGTAGAAGATGTGAAAATCCTGGATGCTTTCCTTTTATGCATCCATGATTTCCTAATTATGTATATTTCATATTGGTTTGTTGCATAATATTCTAAATACGCTAGAGGTATTCTAATCTCTAAATACATTATTAATGTAACCAAGTTTGCAATATAACTGGTTAAAAGTTGTAGAAATCCCCCCACGAATCTGTTTGTCCTCATTTTCCACCTTAGTTCTGCAGTTTGCTGACTAACACCTTTGCTCCTCTGCTTGTTAGCGACTGACAGAATCTACTCCACTTTTAGCAGCGACTCACTGTTGTGTTAAATTGAATTTGAATGTGGTACAGATTTAAAATTTGCTGTATAGAAGGCACATTATGCTGTGGGAATAGAACAGCATTGGCTTTTGTTAATGACACAGCTCTCAATCGAATGTGAAGGCCGACATTTTTAACTTTTACTCAGGATCTCTAAAGGCTTTAGACCTGACTTTGTTCTTTAGATACTTGTATCTTCTTTAGATGCTAATGTTAAAACTCACAAGCAGATGCTGTGATTTTTTTTTTTTTTTTTTTTTTTTTTTTTTGGGAGGGTTTTTTAAAAAATTCCTTTGGTGGGGAACCACCGGGGGGGGGTNTTTCTTCTGCTTTCAGCTCTGGATGGCCTCAGTCCAAATCTTTTACTCTCTCTAGATTTACATCTTAACACCTCCCCCGATCTCAACTATCATTTTTTCCTCCCATCTTTGATGCAATGCTGCCTTTGGGGCTTGCATGTGCAGCTTGTTTTGTGATTTTGGGAAAATAATTACTTTGTGTCAGCACCACTAGAATATTACTAGAATATTATGAATCTTCTGAAGCATTTGCATGCGTGTGAATGTGCAGAAAACGCAGGGAACATGTTGGTTTTGGGGAAAGACACATTCGAATGTTGCAAAGCTGTGGGTGCACTGATCAGAATTTTGCAGTCAATTTGTAATCCATGGATTTTGTCGAGATTAACCTGCTGCTGAAATAACATGCTTGTGTCTATCGTGTGTTGAAATCAAAGATTTACATATAAAAGAACACATAGGACACAAAAACGTGCAGTCTTAGGTGGAACCCAGGACGACCAGAGGAAGTGGAGAGTTGACTCTTTAATGATAAATCCAACAGACTTACAGCAAGGCACAAATGGAGAACCCTCTCAAAACTGACATGACACAGAAAGGAATAGAGGAAGAATAATTGAAAATATCACAGGTAATCATAGAGTGCAATGGAAGGAACCATTGGAGAACAGGGAGTTATTTATGCTGAGGATGTAGTGGAGAATGGCATGAGGACCAGAGGAGCTACTTGCAGGTGAATAGAGACAGCTGGGGAAGAGAACTGGCAGAGGAAATTAGGAGATGTGCAACAGCTGTACTGAGAGACACAGGCAGAGGGAAGGAGAAAAATAGTCAGAGCAAAATCAGCATCTCCAAATCTGAGAGACATGGTCTTGAGCCAGAAAGGGCTAGAGTGTTTTCTCTGGGTTAGGGACGAGGCCCTCACTTAAAGGGGGGGAGGTTATTATGTAAAATCAACTTTTTTAAAGCTACATATCATACATAGCTACATATCATAATATTCCTTCATGAGAAACTGTACATGAAGTGTTGCTTTGATTCTTTCATGCACGTTTGGGAAAGTTTTGAATAACCCAAGGCAGGCATTCAGATGTGCCTAAGCCCTTGCTCAGGCTATGCAGATGCCTCCTTGGAGCATCTCTCCCCACTCCTCTTCCACTCATCAGCTCCTCCAGACTAGCAGCAGCAATCATCAAACACTGCACGTCTACTGAGCTTATCACACAAGCTACTTCTCAGTCCAACACTGACTGTTTACAATTGTTCAGAACAATTGTAAACAGCATAAGCTTACAGAGACAAAGGCAAATCTCATGGCATGAAATTTCAAAGTAAGTTTGTATTTAAGTTATGAAACATAGTTCCTTAATTGTGCTGTAAAATGGCACAATGTGCCGGAGTAATACATAATATTGCCCCTTTATCGTGAGGTCTTATTCACAATTGAGGTAAAAATGGAGTTGGAGACAGGTAACTGGATTAGTTTAGCATTTGCAGTGATGCGTGCGCTGTATGGATCCGTTATGGTAAATCCAGAGCTGAGCCAAAAGACAAAGCTCTCGATTTACCCGCTGATCTACGTTCCTACCCTCATCTATGGTCACGAGTTTTGGGTAGAAAAGAACGAGACTGTGATTACAAGAGACTCAAAAGAATTTCCTGTGCAGGTTATCTGGGCTCTCCCTTAGATATAGAGTGAGAAGCTCCATATCTAAGAGTAGAGCCACTTCTTCTTCACATCAATAGGAGCCAGTCAATGGATGCACCCTAACCTGGTGGGACTGTTTCTCGACTGGCCTGGGAACATTTTGGGATTTCTCTGGAGGAGCTGGCCCAAGTGTCTGGGTCTCTCTGCTTAGGCGGCTCCTCCCCACAACCCGACTCCACACTAAGTAGAAGATGATGGATGGATGGACATGTCGCCAAAAATAACAATCGTTGTAATCGTTGACATTCTGGAACCAGTTTTGGTCAGTGACTTCCCAAAGCCTTTTGCTTTTGTTATGGGACTTTTTGTCTCTGGCAAACATAATCTCCTTCCTGAACCAAATGATGGCAGGACATCTCCGCACGACCTGTGCATAATTGTTTGAGCAAAAAGAGCGTGGCCTAGATAAAAGAACAACAAAAAAGACTTGCTGTGTAGTAATAAGGAAGAAAAATTGGTTTGTTGTGTGGGGGGGGGGAGGGGGGAGGAGAAAATAGGAGGGAGGCCGTCAAACACTGTAACAATGAGAGGAGGAAGGAGACAGGTGGAGTGGCAGGGAGAACAAGTAGGAGTGAGTAATGGAGAGAAACAGTGTGAAGCACTACACTTCTCTCTCCTCGCTGCCTGTGATGGAGGAGCTGCCCTGCTCACAGAATCGACAACAGAAAGGGGACGTCAAAAGGAGCCGAGCACCCAAAACACTGAGTGCAGATCAAACGGAGAGTCTGAGGAGAGGAGAAACGTGGGGAAACTGGGGCACATGCACATTAGTGAAACTCAGTGAAATTTAGGAAGCATGTGAGAGCTAAGACGGAAAAAGTGCTGATGTCGGAAGTGTGCACCCTCCCAGGTCCTGAGCGTGACCCCCCCGCCACCCATCCCTCCACCTCGTTCATGCTTCATCTGTGCCCCATCTCCTTCTCCGTGCTCTGACCCTGTCCCCTCCTCCTTTACCCTCCTCTCCTTTTCTCTCTCTCATGCCATCCCTCGCGCACGGTTTCCCACAGTCAGACCAGGGAGAGCGCAGCGCCTGGATCGCGTCTCTGCTTCTCTCTGCTTCCCTTTTCCTTCCTCTGCCAACCCTCTGCAAGCACGCTCTCTCTCTGTCTCTCTGGTTTCCTCTCCGTGGCTAAAATCCCTCAGCTCGACATCAGAGGCAAGACGCAAGAGAAGAGAGAACCAATGAGGGACTAAATTGAGGATCCAAAGAAGAACTGAGGAGTCCTTCTTCTTGTCAGGATTTTGGCTGCTCTGCAGTCAGTCTTCTGAGAGGAAAGACTGAAGATGGGAAGCTCAATCTGAGCACAGAAAGAAAGAGAAAAGGACTATTTTGCCTAAAAGAACAAATGATGAAGATGGAGCTTCTGCAAGTGAACAAATAAGGACTTAATCCACACACAGGAAAACTGCGAAGAACTCCAAAAGTAACAGGAACAGAAGAAAATAGGCGGGGGAAAAAAGGAAAGAGACTCCGACAAACCAACATATTTTAGAAGATCTGCCTGACGGAATTGAGGTTCTCCTGTCAGTTTTCTTTTTTTCTCCTCAACTGTTTTCCTACGAGTTTGCCTGAAGCTCAGCCATGCAGGTGTCCATCGCCTGTACGGACCACAACCTGAAGAGGGGCAATGGGGACCACAGCAAGCAGAGCGCCACCAGCCCCAATGTGGTGAACCAGGCCAGGGCCAAGTTCCGCACTGTGGCCATCATTGCCCGTAGCTTTGGCTCCTTCACTCCCCGACACATCTCCCTGAAGGAGTCGACCGGCAAACACACTGGCATGAAGTACAGGTGTGTGTGTGTGTGTGTGTGTGTGTGTGTGTGGGTGTGAGTGCGTGGGTCAGAGATCTGTGTGTGTGCTGGATTCAGTGGGTTGGAAAACATTTTTACCGGTCCACATTTTTTGTTTTTGCCTTTATGCTCAAGTCTTTTAAATCGTAGCTGTCAGTCTGAATCTAAAAAATGATTTTTGATCTTACTCCTTGTACTTTAATACTCAACACAAAGAGTTTGAGTTTAAGAAAGCTTTAATGAACTAGAAAGAACGTCAAACATCATATGTTTTATTTTATAAATAAGCCCTCAGATTAGTTCTAAAAGGCAACATAACAAATCGAGATCCAGTTTTGGTTTTCATGTGCCGTTCGCAAAGCCAATTAATGAAGATTATGAACATTGTGTTTCTGGTGATTTAAGCACTCGCGAGTAAATATCAATAAATAAATGACAGCTTTGTCAAGATCCCACATGATTTAGCCTTCCTTAATGATCAGTTTGCAAAATGTTTGATTATTCCACCTTAAAACAAAAAATGCATCCTCCTTGGACGAAATCACCTTGTGCCATTTAAAAAAAAAATTTCTTCCAACACTTTCTTCTGAGTGCTAAACATTTTGAACTTCATCCTTAGTCTTTATGCTCACATTTACAATGAATCAGGAGGTTTCAGATGTTTTCTACAATCCTCGTTTTTGTTCGGTGTTTTGGTTTCTTACTTTGGCTCATATACTCCTCTCCTTCGCTTGTTGTCCCGCACAAACTTTCCTTCTTGCCCTTAGATGCACTAAGATGCACTGTATTTTCAGAATGGAAGGAGCGCTCTTTCTCCTCTGCCTCTCTCCCACACACCTGAACACTTCTCCACCTGTGTGGCAGGGAGAGACAGCTCTGCAGTGTGGGCAGAGCGTCTGAGTTGGATCTGACCTCCACGGTGCCGCGGCTCAGCTGAGTTCTGCTTTCCTATCTCTTTGGGCCTCAAGACTTAAAATCTTGTTGTGTTATAAACTTTTTTTTTACATTTTTTTTTTTACAAGCTCCAAACAGTGCTATCACATCAAATCCGACTTGAGAGCGAAAGCAGTTGGTGTTGATCAGAAATCTAGAAATGATAAAATGTGGGCATTACGACATGTAAATTAGCGAGTCGATTTATTTTCCTCATAATTTAAACACCAAATGAATATATGTTAATACCCATCATGCTCATTACTATTATATTCTAGCAGGAACCTGTTATTTAAGACTTCTTAGAGTGAGTTATTTTAAACATCAAAGCACTATACTGTTCATTTTCATTTCCCCTTGGCAACAGGACACAATAAAGACAAATGTGTATAATTTTATAGTCCTTTCCTAAGAATGCTATGATGAACTGTATCTTGGCTGGACCTGGTTATGGCCTGGACTTATATTACACACTGTCTGGACTCTGAGGCAGTCCAGACAGTGTGTAATGTGAGTGAGCTGTGATACTGCCTGAGGTGTAATGAGAGCAGGCAGGCGACTGAGCATCGACCCGGCTGTAGCTCGGGGCTTGTCGCTTTATATTGGTAATAATATATCAATATCATAAGAACAGCGTCAAGGCATGATGGGTCCAGCTTCACCTTTTTATTATAAGCAAACAAGCAGCAACAAATTTACCAAATGTGGGGTGCAACATGCACTTGATTCAAATTGACAATATATTAACTGTGCAAATTTGAATTTTTTTTCTCCATCTGTTTCATCTGATCTAATGTCTAATCTTTGTTTTCACATTTTAATAACCAATCAGTCATAATCTATTAACGTTTGAATTCGTTTGAAAGAATTAGACATGTTCCTATTACTCTTTAAATCGGGAGATTTTTGTGTATTTCTCAACTTTTGAATTTAATTCGAAACTAAAGATTTAAGTATTAAATCAAGAATATCTCATACGTGATGATTAACCAACTACAGTCAGAAACTGTCAAATATAAGGTGAAAAATGCTAATATTTAAACTACAAACAGCTTCAGAACCAGAAACAAAAGTTTTGAAATACTAAAAACTAAACTGATAAACTTCGAATATTCATCAAGATTTTATCAGCTTCCCCCAACGCCCGCTGGAAAGTTTTTATGGCTTTGCTCATAATAGCCACTGTAAATTTCAGGATTGATCTTTGTGTAAAAATCTGTTAAAACATTTCTACTGGAAAACCCAACACTTGGACAAAGTTCAAAACTCTAAGAGAAAAGGGAGCTTTAAATTGGAGTCAGACATTTTTACTGCACAATAAAATGTAAAGCACAATAAAAGCTTTGTGTCAACGGTTTAAAGGGCAAAAGTATAGCAAATCTACTCTATGCCGGCTTAATGGTAATAAAAGAGTTATAAGTATCTGCAGTTACACACATAAGAGGAGCACCAGTACTTCAGAGTTTCAGAGTCGTTTTGTTTTCCGACAGCAAAAACCTAGAAATATGTAAATAAGAGCAGCTGTTTTGTAGAGTCAGCCATTATAAATTACAGTTAGTGAGCAAATACAATTGAGAAAAACAGATGCCACGAAACAACATTACCCGATGGCAAATAGACATTTAAAGTTTATCTCAGACAAATATGAGTAATACTGTGAACAACTTCGTGTTGGAGCTGGGAACTTTGTTCTGACTGCATAAGGATTGATCTGCATGAATGAATGAATGAATGAATTTTAACCCGGCCAAACTAACTTTATAACTAGTACTTACTAAGGATGAACTGGAACTCCACTATCAGATTCTGTAGCCAGCTTGATATGCAAGCTCAGTTGTCCTCATTAAAAGTTTAGCAGGCGGATGACGCTGAAAACTGCTGGTGATGATGGATGATGATAGGCTAGAGGCTCTGCTCTGTGCTGTGTGTGTAACTAAACACAAGAAAATACAGACAGAAGAGAGGGAGATGGGAAAGGAAGAGGCGATACCACAGAGTGCCCTAAACTTTCTCTGCTGCGTTCTTCTCTGCTGACAGTAACGCTCTGAGAAAATCTCTAACCCAGGTTTGCTTTGCATCTGCCCACCATGAAAACAGAGACATTGTTCATAGGGGCAGATGTTAAACATTAGAGTATCTGAAATATGTCAGGATGGCAGAAAGCACCTGCACTGCTTCTGTTTATCATTTTGAACAGCTGCCAGCCTCCGGCCAGTGAATCCTCCCAGACATCTGCNTCTTTGTTCTTTTTTTAAATCTAAAGTTTAAAACCCCAAACCAATTGTTGTTTTTTTTTTTTTTTTTTTTTTTTTGCAGTAGCAGGCTTTTTAAAGCAGTTCACTGTGTGCAGACACTCGAGGTGCATGTGGCCCAGTCACAGCAGCTGTCAGTGTTTTCTAATGTCACTGCACACACTGGGAACACGATCACACTCTATGTAAAACGGTAGATTGCTTCCCACCTGAATGGTAAATACACTAGTGTAGTATGCTTATAGATGCAAAACATATAAACCACACAGGCATGTATTAATGAAAGTGTTTCACACTTTGTCATTTTTACCAAAGTATTTGCACTCTTTGAACTTTTTTAGACATCGTGGGCAGTTGCCCAGGGCGGAGTTGGGGCACACAAGCACCAGATTGTTAGTGGTGCCTTAAATCTTTCCATTATAGTTTTGCATGTGCAGTTGGTGAAAAGTTGGCACCCGCTACATTGAAGAATGTATTTCTGTTAATACTTTTTAATTGGTTGGTGGTGGAAGAAGGAGAGCTCGCCCAGGGCACCATTCATGCAAAAACTACCACTGTTTTCAGATTTGGAAGACATGAAAGGCCATTCCACACTGTTTTAATTTTCTGTGTAAGGTGTGCAAGGCTTTGTATATTGTTTTATTATTTATTGTTTATATTTATTATATTATTATTATCTGTTATTTTATAGCCTTACTTGGCTTTAAACTTCTCCACAACTGTATCTCTGACAAGTGTGTTTTCGTCTCAAATTGGGTGATTTGCACTGGATTTTTTTCATGTGTATTAGAGTAACGAGGGTTAAATGAAAAGTCTAAACTTCAGAGGTTTTTCTTTGGGTTTGCTGGCATTGGGGCATGTTGGTGCTGCTGGTGCTGCTGGTTGGGGGCACATGAGGTCGCTGACATTTTGATTGGTTGGTTGGTGACGACGGATCTGGAGTTGGTGGTGGTTCTCCCTGTGTTGACGTTGCAGTGGCAGTGACGTGTGGTTGTTTCTACGGTCTGAGCGGCGTTTTTGGGTGGGTAGATCCTGTCTTGGTGTTGGGTCAGGGGTTATCAGAAGGAACTGGTCAGCTAATCAAAAGCAGACTTGGAAAAACAAGAGAGCTTTTCCGAGAATCATCCTCTTTAGGTGTCTGAGAGACTCCTGTGAATCAAAAATGTCAGCAACCTAAATAACTATTTCTTGACTAAGCAGTTTCACACATTAGTGATCAATACATACATTTTGCTCAAGGTCAGCATTTGCTTCTTCAGAACAAAAAAGCAAACAAACGATAAGCGAGGGAATAAAAGTTTGTTTCGACAGAATCTAAAACCTAGCAAAGTCGTTTGAGGCGAAGAAGACATATCTTTTCAAACCTCCTTCTCTGAGCCAGAGTTGAAAGGTCACGCACTCTGCAGTTGTGGTGAAATAAGAAAAAGGTTAAGGGTTATCAATACTTTTGCAAGGCCCTGTACTTCAGTTGAAAAGTGAAACGCAGGAGAGACCAGAAAGAGAGGAAAAAAAAAAAAAACTCCAGAGGCGGACTGATGTAAAAACAAACAGCCAAACGTTTTTCTGCTGGAGCCACAGCATGTGCTGTGATCTAAAACCCTGATTGCTCTGTGAAAACTGGGCAGGCTTTTTGGATGAACCAGTTCACACGTAGCTTTTTTGGCAGACGATGGTGTCCTCTCCGTACGCTGCCTGGCGAGAGCTTTCGCAGCACAGTGGTGTGAAATGGCCAGATTAGCAACTGTTGACACTGTTTCTATGAAATGTGCCACATAGTGGAGGAACTGTGAAATGAGAGGGATGATAATGAATAAA